TATTGTATTTAATTATTTTACAAAATAATTAGTGGTCAGTAGTTAAGTAAAGTCATAGTTATTTTATGCATTCTAATTAAAGATAAATCAATGCAAAATAAAAACAAACGTCTTCCGTGTTATTCCACGTTTACACATTGGCGTGTACATAAGATAAACTGGCGTGTACATAAGAGTACATAAGATAAAATATCTTGCAATAAGGGTTAAGCTTATGCGTCGATTCGAAATAATTTAGCTTCATGAAACACATGTATTAAGTAAAAGAAATTTTATAGCTTTGACCTCCGCCTTTTAATCAGTTTTAGTTTCAAACCATTATTATAATTCAATGCTATGAAATCATCACAAAATGACCAAGCGCATGTTTTTTTTTAATTTCCTTTCTACGCGACACCATAAAGTAATATACGCATGAATTTTAAATGAATTACTTATGTATGAACTCTGTCTTACATTTAGTTACACGAGGCTCTTAAGCTTGTCACAGTAAATGATAAAATTTATAAATAAATTGGTGGAATATGTTCTAAAGCTTTCTTGGTAATGATTTTGTTAAATAAATAATTATTAAATGATGAAGCATTAAAGTCATTTCATTGATCTATTAAGCTCTAAATGTGTTTGACAAAAATATATTTCAGGACTAGCCATAAACTTGAACTATTTAGCACGAAGGATAAAATAACTATGTTTTTACAAAGATTATAAAGGCAAAGCATTATGTTCATTAAAACATTAAAAACATACTAAATATACTAGTTATTTAATATTAAAACACAATCAATCATGCAAATGTGAATTATATATAAATACTTAGGACTCTTAGACATCGGCCACATTTTTGTTAAAAACATATGCATTTTTCGGAATAAACTGTATGTAGTTGTAAACAAGAGAACGAACAGTGAGTAACATGTACGACTAAGAACTGCTTACCTGATTTAACAAAATCACTTTTGAACCGCTCTGGAGTCTTTTAGATACAATGACAGCGAAAAGGAAAATCCTAGAGTGTACCGATTCATATATGTCTCTAAATAAATAAACAAGTATCTAAACAATACAGTTATAGAAGCTTGAAGCTTGTCATACTTTCTGGTATCATAAATCATTAATTATTTTAAAATCTTACCCTTAAATTTTAGTGGACAACATATTCACATGGCAACTTTTATATTTGATCATGTAGAACAAACTTAAGTATATTTATTTTTCATAATGTATGCGTAAAATTCTCGGTTATTGTGTAAGTATAACCACTACAAAGTCCAGAATCAAGCAATTGTAAGACTTGCTAACTGTTATGCAGGTCTGACCTAAAACTGGAAGTGACGTATCATATCCAAATGTAAAATATTGATAGTTCCTGATATCGATAGTTTGGAGTGTTTCTTATAAAATGAGTTTGAATTTACGTTTGTATTATGGATGATTATCGCTGATGTTTATTCATTTGTAGTTCAAAGTTATATGTTTTCAACATAGCCACCGACATAACCACAATTCAGCTTCGAAAACGATGAAGATCTCGACGTCCCTATGCATTGTGCAGAATAACTGTTTAACCAATGAAGTAAATAAATTTATGGAAAAAGTAAACACTACTTACATCTTTTTCCAGCATAAAAATATCACTTAACACCAACATAAATGTATCTATTAATTGATTGATTTATTGATTTATTGATTTATTTGTGTATTTATATATGTCATATTACAAAACAATTAAGACAATTTATCACAGATATATCTATCACATTGTTTTTAACACAGTAATTAATTGAAAAATAATAACTTTACATTCATAATTAAATCAAAGATCTTGTTGACTTCAAGACAATATATACAACACAGGATAACCCATGAAAGTTCAATATAAAATAGAGAACTTATTTCCAATGGGGTCCTTTGATGGTAAAGAATATATTTTCTTGAGAACTGGCATTCAGGTCCATACTTAGAGATGATATACTGGACTGATGTTAAATTTCTAAGATCAAATAATTTCAATTTCTATTGCACATTATGTTAATTACATATATCACATATTTGCAGGAATAATACTATGAATATGACTAGTTATCACACCAATGAAAGATATCTATTTATATATATCACAAAACCAATCACAAGATACATTTATATAAAACATACTATATTGATTAAAACAATTATCTCTAAAACTAATAAAAAATAAAATCAGCTTGTTCAAATTGTTTCATATTTTTGCTTAGTTCAGCTTTTACTTTCTTTTTAAAGTAAAAAAAGTTACTTTCCTTTTTAATATCAAGTGGGAGCATGTTCCAATCCCTAATACCCTGGTAAAAAAATGTACTTTTTGTAAAACTATTAACATGGGGTATATGAAAGTTCCCTACACTGTTTCAACTATTATAACAATGAACATCAGACTTTAAAGAAAAATTATCATACATATAAGATGGACACTTTTTATTAAATATTTTGTGTACATGATTGAGTCTTAACTGTATGACTCAATTAAAATAATAGCTAACCGATTCCATGGGTTTTCCGATATACCATTTGTTTAAAGTGTCACGGTGCACTGTTTTAGTCTTATATAAGTAAGTAATCGTACACCCGTGTTTCCTCTCATTAAACAAAAGACCTTTAATTGAATGAAACTCAACTACATTTATTGATTCTAGCGTGGAATAGATTTGAAATTACATTCGGTATTACATGTCAACACAGTTTGCATTTTTCGTTTACGCGGATAGTTGCATGTGTTATTAAGAGACAAAACACAGACTTGTTTCTTGAAAATTCACGCTCAATGTTGGTAATATCTATGAATAAACATAAGAAAAGTTTGTTTGTTTGTTTGTTTACTTGGGTTTTACGTCACACCAACACATTATAGGTCATATGGCGACATTCCAGCTTAACTGGTGAAGAAAGACCTCAGATACGAACGGGTACCTGAGTAAAACCACCGACGTTCCGTAAGCTAGCTGGATAGCTTCCTCACATGAAAAAATCCAAAGTCGTGAGGGGCAAGTGGTTTGAAGTCAACGACCTCTCGTTCACGGACGCCCCCATAAGAAAAGTAATGAAACATTATGAATTAGATCGACTGATTGACCGTAATAGTGCATCGTGAGAAAAGACCTGTCAAATACATGTGGATCATTTAACAATTAATGATATATAAAAATATGTAGCCGAAAATTTTAATCAAAACGGCTTTTTTTGTTTTAAAATTCGGCGTTTAGTACATAAAAAAACAATGAGAAATTTTATTGATATAATTTTGTTTACAATAAAATCTAACTCACTGGCTAACTCAATGGTATGTATATAATGATTTATTTTATGCTTTTCATTGTATTAATGATTTATTCGTGAAAATTATATTAGATAATTTCACAGTGAAAATTATCAAAATATAATTTTACACTATTTAATGACGAAACTACTTTTTTAAGATTTTCCCCATGTGATACCTCAATTTTATTTTTGCTAACAATTTTGACAATTTCATGCGAAACTGCTTTTGATGACATTTGGGCATATTTAAGTACTAGTATCCTATGAGCCAATAACTGCTGTATGCTTTATGAAAACTTGAGAAGCAATGACAGCCATCAGCCAGAAGAATAAGTAAAAAACCCAGCGTTCGTAAGGCTTCCAAGTTTTCCAACTTCTTAGCCGCTTAACTTTGAAGGTTTACACATCTGTCAAAAAAATCTGGAAACAAAATGATCCTTCGGAAGCATTAATCACAACAAAATTACATAAGAATTGTTACTTATTTATTGTCTGTTACAATCCTCAAATAAGTTATCTTTCTTTTAAAAAGGTATATGGCTAACAAAGCCAAATGATATTCATCTGAATAAAACACAATTAATTTCCTCCAGTGAAATACACAACTTTAAAAATGGCGGCCGCTTACATTTAACAAAAACATAAACAAGGTAGGTCTAATATAAATTCGCAGTAAGTAACAGAAATATGGATGGATGGATGGTTGGATTTTTTCACCTACTAGAAATGTTTTTTTTATTATTAAAACAAGCGATCATTCATACTTTTTAATAAAATGAATAATATCACCGTCATTTAACTTTGATTGTCGCACTTATCTTGCAGTCCAAGACTTCTTGTATTTAATGAGAAATTCGACTAAATGAGGCTCTCGATGGATACGCCACTCGTTAGAATACTGTTTTTAAAGCCCAGGAGATGAAATAATATTTCATCTTACAAACAAACAAACAAATATCCTCTCTGTATTAGCAAGAAATATTAACACATTACTGTGACATTAGTATTACCGACAGTGAAAAAGGTGGCGGATCGCAGTTTTTTGGTTATTTGTTTCATTTAAGGACATCTTAAAATCGTGTCAATTGCAATCTACGTATCAAAATCTTATTGTTATTAACAGAAAAACATACACATTCTTGGCCAGAGACCTTTAACATATCGATAACATATCGATATTGAAATATCAAGGACAGAATATTTGATAGCCTTCGTGATTTTCCTTATATTTATTAACATTAGCAACTTTTTTCTATGTTAGCACAAACAAATGTAGCTGCAAATAATAACGTGATTACCATAGAATCTGTTTAATGAATAATGATACTAGTAAAATGCTGAGAAGTTGTTTCCCACTTCACTGTGCTATGGTATTCTGAGAGAATGCAATGGTTTACCAAACATTTATTAGTAGTTCGTGGTATTTAGTGGGCTTTTGGTTACCTCTTTAGGGGAACTTTGTACGAGTTGCTGATCTAAGAATTAATTTCCAAGCCAATGATGAGAGCCTAACTGATGCATGACTATAAGTCTATAAAGATTTATTGCATTCCGAATATTTAAAGGATTTATTTATCCAGACTTATGAATATCGCAATCTTCGACTTCATATTTTCTTTACGACTGATTTTTAAAAGGATAGCAAATTCATGAAGAAAAGGGAAAATTGTTTAGAGTAAAACTTCAAAAACAGCTAAAACTCATCGAAAGAAACCATAGTTTATTACTATATATCGTGTTGTCGCATTGCTGAATTCATTAGACAAACAAACATTAAATACATTCAAATATTTCATAACGTATAGCACATGTGTTAAAATAGATTTGGATGTTTTGTTTGATCAGCTTATACGTTCAAAAGAAATACTTAGAACGTTTGCTTTTATTTAATATAGTTATATCATAAAATCCTAGATAAAATATTAAAACTAGACACAGCGTAGAATCAGCAAGCATGTTAATAATAATATATAGATATCAAACAAGCCATTGTACAGTTTCATTGGCAAAAAAGCATAACTCATTGTATCATAATAATTAATAGAAGTGTTACAAAATGTTTTTTTTCAACCTCCAATCAAGTGTCAACCAATCAATTATTCATCCAATCTACAAGCATCTATAATCACATGCAGCGTTTAATCACTTGAATTTATTAACACAAGATACACAATTCTGCTTATAAGAGATGTGTTGCAATCTGTTAACCGTACTGTAAAAACAAATTGATTTCATAGTAGCATTGATTTTATAACATTGTTTTACATCGTCACTTTATTTTTATCATACGTGTATGAGTTTAGAAAATGCTGCTTTAGCTCTGTATTGTCATTTCACGTTTGTATTTTCTTGCCTTCTGCTACCCCTTTACAGACTACAGGCCCATTTTCGTGCAATAAAAGTGCTGGCCAAACCACGAAATTGACTAGCTGTCCTGACGTCAAATACTCTTTGTATAGATTTGTGTCAAACCTGGCCTTCATGTCGCATTTATGAAATACCATTGGAGGAGACTGAACTTTCATCATCCAACCCAGATACAGACATTTCAGAATAAATGGTTTGATCTCGTCTATGCAATCTTCCGAACAATATGATTCGATATAAGCCTACAATTTAAGCAAAACAATGAATATGATCGCATAAATCATTGATATGTTTCTTCCGAGAAATTATATATTGTTAATAGATTTATGTGACGGACATTTTCGTTTTCTTTATAAAGACACTCTAAGTTTAACGTATTGATAATGGCGTTCATAATTTAATAGTGAAAGAAGAAATACGACAAAGGCAACAACATTATTTACCTTTTGCACAATCGGCACCATTGCAGACGCCATTTCTTTTCGCAAAGTCTTCAGTTTATTTTCGGCTTCAACTTTGATGATTTCTGTTTCATTCACCTATGAAATAGAATTTAAATAATAACCAAATATCCGAGCAATTTCATAATATGTATATATACAATTGATAAGCATATTATTCCAAAATGGATTTAAAGGTAGACAAAGGCAACATTTCATTTTTTTCAGTTCATTCATAATTCAGTAAATGCCCTTAAAATGAATATGTTAGACAAAGGAAACAAAACTTTTCTCCATATAAAGAATAAAATTGTAGTCTCCTAACTTGACCCGTGTGGGTCAGGTTAGAGCGCTAGGATTTCACAATAGTTGTCACAGTGAACTCTGGAAACGTTAAAGAACATGTCAAATGAATGACTTAGACTTGTTTTAGTCATACAATATCCACAATATCTGTTATTGTAACGTCCAGGGTTTGTTCAAGTCACCTGACTTGTTTTAAAACTATTTGGGGATTTAATTGGCGTCTAAATTTTGTTCAATATATTTAGATATATTTACGCTCCAAACCCAAAATATATAGAAATGAAACAGAAATTTAAGCTGAAACTTCAAGAAATGTCATTTTAGCGTGATTTGAGTGCATAAGATAATTTTTATATTTTTGTCATTATTTTGCCTGAATATCCCTTTAATGTTACATTTGTAACAAAAATGTTGGATGTTTATTCTTTTATTCATTTTGATCAACCAGAATAGATAATGACAAAATTGTTAATGTTGATTTAAATTGATATAACAAATCAGATATAATAACACTGTTAAATACTCCACAGTAAAGTAACACGCCTACACTACCTATACAACACTTCACAACAGCAGGTGTCAAGTGCTGTGTGGCAGCTGTAAAAAGTTGCCCCGTACTTCACTTCAGTGTTGTTATATTTTTCTGGTCCTTCGGGATCATTTATGCCAGCACTATTAAGTGTTGAGAATTGAGTACCGCTCAAGCCGGTGCTAGAGGGCGTGAGGGATGTTGCACGTATTCATTATCCCTCATGTACAGTCTCAATCAAACCGTGTCTGCAATTCTCTTGTAATTTTGTTGTGATTAATGCTTCCGAGGGATCACTTTGTTTCCAGATTTTTAAAAAATCAAAAATACGATTTATTTTCTCTTTTTTTTAACTACCTGCATTCTTATATCGTAAACTTACTTTTTCTGAACATGGCTTGTGGTAACCTTTGTAAGTTTTAGGTTTCCACATGTGCTGCAGCTTCATGTCATCTAGCGACGATTGTTCGCGCCGTAAATGTTTGCCCATACATAGCGCCTGAAAATATTAGTTCTGTTAATTGCAACAACAAGTAACGATCTGATAATTGGTTATAAATTAATAAATAATAAATAGTCAACTGCAAACATTTTGCATTCCGTCTCTTTGTATGCATTACCTTATGAGCATACTTTACTGAAACAGATTATATTATAACAAAATATGTGGAGATTGGATATTCTGATTAACACACAAACATGGTATCAAAATAAGTTAACATTTTGTCACATACGTACAACTTCCATCAGAGAGTGACTGAGAAAACAGAACATTGAATTTCAAAGTTAACTGAAATCATTAACACCGTTTTGTGTCACAATCAAACTAAATATATTTCATGATCGTTGAAACATCGTTGAAATGAAAAAAGTTCAAGCAATGTACATAGTTTGGAATTGTACTCACATTTTGCCTCGGAATAGTCAAAAAAGAGGGTACTTTCTGAAAATACAGTCTCCAAATTAATGCTGTTGTTTTAAAAGAAATTTGTCATCAAACATTAGATACTTGTAAGTAAGTATAAGTTATTTAATAAGATTAAAAATATATGTTATATGTTGCGGTTCGGACCGGAATATCCGTCCCGAGGGGACTCACCCATTGGGCGGTAACGAGGCTTGCCGAGTTACCGTCCATTGACGGGTTCCCGAGGGACGGATATTCCGATCCGAACCGCAAACATATGTTACACATTTTTTCTTGCATATCCTGCTACATTTTTTCATATTTAAAATGGTTTACCTCAATATGATATGCGGAGATTTCAATGCTAGGACCCGAAATTTTTTAGATTTCATTCCTAACGATGATCTTCATTATGTTTTTGGTAATGTCGATTATGAAGGTAGCTATTTTGAAATTCCACGTCAAAATAAAGATAGTATAAGAGGGAATAATTTTGGTAAAGATTTAGTAAATTTTTGTTGCATATTTGATGTTCACTTATTAAATGGCAGGTGTCATGGTGATATTAAAGGGGAATATACGTGTTATTCTAACGACGGAGTTAGTGTTGTAGATTATATGATTGTTTCAACAAATGTTTTTCAGTATGTTAAATATTTTAAAGTCTTAGATAAAGACGATTCAGACCATTTTCCTATCTGTTGCAATTTAGAATTTAAGATAAAAATACCTGTACAAAATACACTTTATCAAACAAACACGTGTAATAATATTAATATGATAAACTTCCGCTGGAAAAATAATTATAATGAAATTTTCGTGAATAGTTTACGAAACCTTTTACATGAGAATAATGATACATTAATACAAAAACTTAACGAAAACATTAATGAGTATATAAATTTATTAACTCAGATTTATCATGAAGCTGGCGAATGTATGAGAATGAAGTTTAAATTTAGTTCTAATCAACCTGCATGGTGGGATGATGAATGTTTTAGATTGAAGAAACGAAAGTATCAATTATTACGTCATTTTCGTAACACAAATACACAAAATGATTTAAGATTATATAAAACTAGTCGTAATGAATTTAAAATATGTTGTGATAAAAAGAAATTTGAATACCAAAGTAAAAATAGATATAACTTAGTGAACAGCACTGATGCCATTTCTTTTTGGAAACAATTGAAATCAGCCAAACCAAAAAATAATATAACAAACAATAGCATTTCTTCTAAAGAATGGTATGATTATTTCAATAAACTATTGTATGACGCAAACGCGGTAAAGGTGCCGTCACACGTAAATAACGAACATGTATCTTCTGATGAAAGTGCGAATTCACTTAATTTACCTTTTACATTATGTGAAATTGAATCAGTTATTTCTAAACTTGTAAATAATAAAAGTTCTGGATTCGACGGGATTCCATCTGAATTTTTTAAATATTCACTTCAGGACATCGGGGAACATTTGTTACTGCTATTTAACACAATTCTAACAACAGGAAATTTTCCAAATACTTGGGGTCAAAGTATTATATGTCCAGTTTACAAGTCTGGATCGCCTTCCTTACCGAACAATTATCGGGGCATTTCTATCACAAATACAATGTATAAAATATTTTCTGGCGTTGTTAATAAAAGGTTATATAATTGGGCTGAAGAAAATAATAAAATAGACGAATGTCAGGCAGGTTTCAGGTGTAATTACTCAGCTATTGATAATATTTTTTGTTTACAAGCCATGATACAAAATTACTTGTCTAAAAAAGGTGGTCGTTTTTATTGTTTATATGTCGATTTCCGAAAAGCTTTTGATAAAATTGACCATTCAAAATTATTTGATTCACTACAGAAAATAGGCATTCATGGTAATTTTTTACGGGTTATAAAATGTATGTATTCCGATTTAAAGTCTTGTGTGAAAACACAAAATGGTTTAACTGATTTTTTCCCGTGTAACATAGGAACAAGACAGGGAGATAAATCTAGTTCGACTATTTTTATTCTTTTTATCAATGAGTTGTCTATCTTACTTAGACAAAACTGTGGCACAGGAATATTTATTACTAATGATATACCTGATATATTATGTCTTATGTTTGCCGATGATGTAGCAAACTGTGCAGAGACAGTATCTAAATTACAACAACAATTAAATGTTATTGACACTTTTTGTTATAATACTGGAATGGAAATCAATCTTGATAAAACAGAAGTAATTGTTTTCCGTAATGGTGGTCCTTTACGTAATTATGAGAAATGGTATTTCCGAGGTAAAAGCTTAAATATAACATCTATGTATAAATATATGGGACTCATTTTCACTCCTCAATTATCATGGACTCACGCTAAGGAAAAAATGGCATCTCAAGCCCAAAAGGCAATATTATCGTTAAAATATTATCAGAAACCCTTCGGTCATTTTCCGAGTAATGAATTGTTTAAAATTTTTGATCATATGATTAAACCAATTTTATGCTATGGATCACAAATATGGGGTTTTGAATATAGCCAAACTATTGAATATGTGCATAATGATTTTTGTCGAAAACATTTATCTGTTAAAAAAAACTACAAATACAGCTATGGTTTTAGGGGAATGTGGTAGATTGCCCTTAAGTATTTCGTATATGACAAATTGCATACGATATTTTTGTAAACTTCTGACCATGCCTTCATCTAGATATCCTAAACAGTGTTATTTTATGTTGAAGTCACTAGACGATGTAGGTCGAATATGTTGGGTTACCAAAGTTAAACATGTACTGTTTAGATATGGTTTTGGTTTTGTCTGGATATCTCAAGAAATTGGTGACACGAATATGTTCCTTAAACTTTTCAAACAAAGACTTATTGATTGTTGTACTCAACAATGGTATGAAAATATAACGAATTCTAGTAGATGTTTTCACTATAATAAATTTAAATCACTTTTAAATGTTGAACGATACTTATTAATAGAAATACCATTTAAACATAAAAAGGCGTTTTGTAATTTTCGTTGCTCCAACCATAAATTAGGTATAGAAATAGGCAGACATAATAATATCCCAAGGGAAGAACGTTTGTGTATAACTTGTAATGATAGTATAGATTGTGAATTCCATGCTTTCTTTATATGTAAAAAATACAAACAAATCCGTGATAAGTATTTATTCAATTGGTATTTTGGCGGAAAAGAACTACATGATTTTTATGTATTAATAGGTACACGTGATATAAATACATTAAGGAAGCTTATGTTTTATGTATATGTTTTAATGGATAACATAAACAACTAGTCTTTTTACGCATTAATAAACATTGTTAAGGTGACGCAACCATATTACTATATTGTTGTATGTATGCTATGTATTTTGGGCCTGAGGCCTTTGAACACAAATAAAGTTATTTGAATCTTTGAATCTATGATATATGTTCATGGAAATTAGAGTAATTTCATCTATAACTATTTTGTACAATAGCGTATGAACCTAGAACTTAAATAACAACGACGAAATGACGTCATTCTTTAGCACATATCTCCCTTCTAAAACGACGTCATTTTTACGCGGTTCATTCATAAAGTGCGCTAAAATGACGTTATTGTTTGGCAAGCGATTCATCTGGCACCCCGATGCCAGATGAAATTTCCGGCATGGGTAAATCTCACGGAAAAGCCAGTCTGCTATGCAAGAAATATAAGAAGTGGTCACAGAGTTACCAGCAAAGTTATCAAATATGTTACCTTTGTTTTAATTGCTTAACTAGGACAAACATTGATTCATATGATTTAAGATATGTTGAACCTATTGAAATGTATGCATACCTTTTCCAAAATAGATTGTTGATACTCTTTGAACAGTAGGTTAACTGCATCAGAAGCTTTTCTTAACAATAATTCAGCCTTCCTTTCGCAGAATTGAAGAACATTCTTTATATGAAATATATGGCAGAGCGTATAAAAATGATTATTCCTGGAGGGTAATAATAATATTGCAAAACAATTTAATTACAGATATATACGGTTTGAGTGTGTGTTCATAAACATTTTCAGAACTATGGGTCTAAGAAACATTATTTAAAGTAAAAAAGAAATTTAAAGTGATCATTTCAACTTTGATATCTTAGATAATGTGAATTTGGTCTTAAAAGATTTTGATCCGAAGGAGTAGTGTCTATCAAAATACTGACATGAATAATGTATGTGCAGGTGAATTGGGAAAAAAAAGTAATATATTTTAACCTCTAATGTTAGACGCAATATTTCAATCGCTGTTATCTCGTCATATCCAGCAGTTTTTAATGCCTCAAAAGCATCTGTCCATTCGTTGTCATATAGCTCACTGTAGTACTCTGCAAGTTTTGTTGGTCTGTTCGGATCACTGAGATCAAATATCGCTGGATTTTTACTCAACCTTGTGAAAATATAAAACATGAGTTTAAAGCACTTTGAATATGGAACACTCTCTCAACAAGAAAAATAAGATATCAATAATATAGAAAAATATCACAGGGTAATGATTCTAAACAGCATAAAAATATACAATCAGTAAAAGGTAACACGGGTCGTAGAGTATATTTTTTCTTTGAAAAGTTAACTGTCACTCAACTATACAAAATTAAGAATAATTTGATAAAGCTGTTCAGTGCTATCAAACAACACACAATTAGACACAAACATTCAAATTTAAAAAAATGGAACAAAATATGTTCGATCCTTGAAGATCGTTCAGCACGACATTATTGTTGTGCTTGTGGTATTTTTAGTTTCAACTTGTCGGCATTTTCTAGTTGGGTGGTTCCAATATTCCTACTTGAATAATGTTGAATCACCCTTAGGATATGTTGCCTGCTTTTTAAATTTGTCTTTTGACGTCTTATCTGTGATACGCAGGCTTCATAACCTCTGATCCCCTTTCAAAATTCCATTTTATTTAGTTCCGCCCATTGTTTTCTCGTTTAGGGCACACGCATTTTATTACTTGGGGACCGTACGCCGCTTTTCATGGAATGGCACTACTGTGTCACATTGAAGGTTCCATGATAACCGCCGTATGAACACATCTGCGGATGTTTCTAAATTCAAAATTTTACTATTTCACATTTAAATGTTGAATTCTGCTTAAGCCGGTGCTATGGGGCGTTGACGGTAACTTGCACTTTCCAATACCGTCCATGAACAGGCTCAATCAAACCGAGCCTGCAACATTTTCAATTTTGCCGTGTTGGGCTTTCTTTAGGGATTCTGTATTTATCTATTTTTTGGCAATAAAACATAATGTAAACAAATACATCTAATGAAAACAAATACATTAAAATATTTATAAATATTTATAAAACTTTCTTATACAACTTATGAGACCTCTAATGTTTAGGAAATTCTTTTGTCATTAAAAGATGTTTTAATATCAGGTTTAACCTCTTTATAACCCATAAGAAAAACTAAAAAAAAAGGAAGCAGAGGATAGAATGTTTTACCGCAGCAATAATTCATCTTTCTCTTTTTCCAATTGTTTAGTATATGCCTGTAAGGAATCATTCAGGTTTTGAAGCATATTCTTGTTCTCAATCAATTGACTTTTCTCCTTTTCTATCTCACGACAGCGATGTTTCCACTTTTCTTCTACATCATTATTTCCATCATTTGCATTGTACCCTTCATGTTGTGTAGGCATTGAGTTATTCTAGGACATCAGAGAATAAATGTTATAGTTGCCATATTTAAGTGAAAACTCTTCTATTGTTATTATGTTATCTAAAATGTAGAATAATTTATTAATATTGTATTCCATTTCAAAGCATTCTACAAATAAATAATGGGTTTTTATTGCGTAATTACCTGTTTTTATTCATATACTGAATTAGAGTTTTGTCTCAATAGTGAATGCATGATCTTAGACTTAGAATGCTTACCGTCTTTGTTTCCTCATATTGTTGTTTTTGCCCTTGAATTTCCAAGCTGATTGCTTTCTTACCACCTACCTCTCTGTTAAAAAAACAGACACGCATTGTTATGCCCTTACATAAACAATTACATACGTAATATTGAAATTACTTCTGTCAACAAATAATAAAATTCTTTCATTTTTAAAGACTCATGAAAGAAGAAAAATTTCAAACATTTCTAAAGCATTTTATTGATATTAATGCTTACAGCATTTTATACAGCAACAACATTATTGACAATTCTATGCATACAACATAGTGCATTACAATGTTAACTAAATGTGTATTGTATGGATACTACATTATTAGATAAAAAACGGATTAGAAAAGTCACCCTGCATTTTCCTCTTCAAGATTGATATTTTCATCTTGTAGCTCTAAGTTGTTTTCCATAACATTCTCAGCGTTAAATCTTTCATTTTCGTTTTGTGTCTCAGTTCCATTTTTTCTTCCTACTGTCACTTGTCGTCTGTCCTTGCCTACGTCAGATTTACTTTTGAGTGTATTTCCCATGCTATCCTGAAAAAAAAAATTTCATAGGCCTATATAAATGTGTAACATTGTTACCTAAAAGTCTGGCTATTGGTCATATATATCTCAAAATTTATAAATATTCATTATTATAAACCCAGTGTGTGTAGATTTATAGAATTGTTTAAATGACCTGTTACATTTAATTAAGAACTATATATTTATCAATTATGTTTAGCCAGTAATTACCAACAATGATTATATAATTAAAATCAAACAAGATTTTTTTCTTTCCATAAGAGATCTGAAAGATACATATATAATGTTAAAAAACAAAAGGAAATAAAAAGGTTGCCCCTTGTGGGGTTTGAACCCACAGCCCTCAGTTTCAATGCAGTTGACAGTAATTCTTACATATTTGAATACATGTATATACAAACCTTATAAGTGGAAAGTGGCTTCTTTTCTTGCTTGTCAACTTGCAACCTGAAAACATATTTATATAATTAAAGCATGATTTAATACTTTGTAAACATTCAACATGAAAACGTTAAATATTTTTCTATCATACATATATACTATATGAACATATAGGATTCAGAATCATTTAAAAACATCTCGAGGTCACGCCATTCACAATTTTCCAGAGAATAATTAATTACATGTACATGTTACAAAATCCACAGATTTGTGACAACCACCATTGTTTCTGACGAGTTATTGATAAAGTCAGTCTAATAGTCTATTATTTATCTGTCTATGTTTTACAGCGTGTTATTAATGATTTGTCCCTTAAAGAATCCAGTGTCCAGATGCTAAGGATTGACAGACAGAAGTGTTGATACTTTGAAAATATATTTATAATGAATAAAAGTTTCATAAAGTGATTTAATTACAAAACAAATGTCATATGTATTTAAGAAAATCAATGAATGTATAACTGTTTAGTTATGGTACTCCTGTTACCATGTTGTACTCATTTTGGTGATGACATTATAAGTTTTTATATAATCAGTCATGAAAGTAAATAACCATTTCACAATTTTAAAGTACAAACCTAAACATCTAAATACAATAACGATAACAAAATTTGACGTGTGCCATGTATAAACACATTTAAAATAAATTCTATTTCAAAACAAGGAGAATTTTGCATTTTTGCGGAAGGTTGACACTTCAACAATCACAAGGCCCAGAGGCAAGAAAAAATGAAAAAATAAAACAAGCAGAATAAATCAGAAGAGGAGAGGAAACGGACAGAGCCCCATAAATGTTGAATCATTCTGTTTAACTATGAAAATGAATAGAGGAGTTAATTCAATACATGACTAAATATTAGCCTGAAACATGACTGTCTAAATATGTCAAGTATAGATAAAAGGTTAAATGGTTGTAAAAAGCAAATTTACATAATTCTGTTAACAAAATGGTTGTTTAGATACATTCAATCTGAATATGTTGTGCAAACTATATTATTGTTTACAAAAACTAATTTAGAGAGTATTATACTTGGTTGCTGCTTGCCATTGTACGATAATTGCCCAGATATGTCTATAATGACCTGAGGGCCGCCGTATATTTGTAAGTTTTCACAGATTGATGCATTTTGTAGTACATGACATATTTCTCGATTACTGTAACATTGTTAAGAGTTGCTCCTCTTTTGTTTGCGTAGCGTCCGCATAGCTGTTGCCGTTAAATATCTGAAGTCATCTTTGTTACGTATACGTGTTTTTTTCCGCGCGCAAATGAAAACAGTCGAAAATTGCTCTTATTCTACTTATAAGGCATAGATTAAAAAGGTGTTTGATTTCGTGAATATAGTAAATATCACGAATCGAAGTGAAAAATAACCTTATTTTGCAATTTTCTCACTTCTCAGAGATATATACAGAATATGGACTCAAATCAAAAAACTATCCTCTATTTATCCGTGTGATCAAATCCATTTCACCAACAATGTGGGTGAAACCCTGCTTAACTAATTTCTAATTTGTGTGATACCGTAAATTTGTAAATTAACACCGGAGAAAATTGTTGCGTTTTGTTGTAATGACATAGTTTTCTATTTGAATTTCATTAATTCTCTAAGGCTACAGACTTGAATAACGTTTGTTTGCACTGCGTTCTCCTAGCCATTACATTAAAGTTTTACGTCATTTTCCTTACGTGTTTTTTATACCGCTTCAATGAAAATGTCGAAAATTGCTGTTATTATAGCAAAAAGGCATAAAATAAAGAAAATTTGTTTAGACGAACAACGGTAATTTTGAGAATCGAAAAGAATTGAGTACTGTATGAAGTTATACCTTTTGAATAATAACCAAAACTTAAAAAACATTTATATGTTATTAACTTAGGGATAATGCACATTAACATGTTAGACTTTTATTGAGGCAATATTCACTTTAATATTGGTTTCTTTACAGATCAAATGTTTCATTTGATTAATATATTTAGTTCTATTTTAAGACCAATAAAAAGGACCTTTTATTTATTTTAAAAAATTTTACGAATATGACAATACTGGAATTTATAATTGAAAGATATATATCTATACCTTGGTGGAACTACTGGTGGTACTTCTCTCTTGAATTCTTTCTTCAAGTCACGTAACTCTTTTTCTAAAGTCTGATTATTCTTGAGTAATGTTTCATTTTTCTTCTGAAGCTGTTTTATTTTCTCTTGATGTTCTTGATAAGCTACTTGGAAAGTAGCTTTTGTATCGTCTTTTATATGTTCTCTCGGTACATGCTTCAAATATTTGCAAAAAAGTTTAATTATTAGTTATTCGTAAAAAAATCATAAATTCTTACTGTAAGTCAAATTTACAAAGGTGATAGTTAAAGTTAGATAATGTAGACGCAGGTATGTGTCAATATTTAGGATATTTATTATATGTGCATAGGCTCGTCTTTAGCAAATTACAGTTTCATATAAAAGATTTAAACATACTATGAGAGATCTTATTTGTTTCATTTTTTCTTCTGCGTCTTTCGTTTGCTCTAAAAGATACATGGGCACCCATTCCCTTTGACCATTTTTCCACGATTCAGTTAAGTTCTTTGAAAGTTCAGTCAATCTTCGTGCCTCGTCTTTGAAGTATTTAAGAGCTGTTTCAAAATCTTCATTCTTCTATTTTTGGTTCGCCGCCATGATATCACAGTTTCAAACATCTATCTGACAAGTGATACTCAAGAAATATATATGTACATGTACAAGTAGATATTACAGCTTACACTTTATATCGACAATAATTTCCTGTTTGAAAACGCCCTCCAGATTTATTTTATTTTTCATGAACATTTTGAAAATCTATGGAAAAGTTTAATGTTGTGAAGTGAAAAAGAAAGTAACTTACTTATTGCAAACGGCTTGAACAATCGATGTCGATGTCGATCCAAATTAAATATGAAAAGAAGTCAAAATTAAGCATTATATTATAAACCAAAAATTTTTTATAATTTTTTAAATAATTTTATTAAATTTATATATTACTTTTCTCACAATCTTATAACACTTTTCTTAGGTTTGATTTTCTTGGAATATTTTGGCTTATCTGGAGGCGTGCAACTTTAAAATAAATCAATGAAAATACCTTTGTTACACTTTTAAATTGTTGATTAAGGGGTATAAAATGACTGCACAATCAATATGTTAAGATAATGGGGATTAACGAAATAAAATTGTCGCTAATTTATGGTGGCTTTTTTGTGCCAGTCGTGTTTCGCCAAGCGAAAAGTCGAGTAAAATGGCGTTGGTGCGGAGCGAAGCACGTTTCTTAGCGTTAGCATTAGCATTAATACGAATGGCACAAATCAGCCACCATACTTACTTAATATCAATTAGACGCCGCGTGCACGCGGCGTCTAGTAGATATGCATTTGTCCATACAGCAATTGGGAACAGACTTGAGTTTCAGAATGACATGTATCTATCAAGTCACCTTTCATCTTTTATTCACTATTAATATTTAACCTTGCAGTTAACAGTCACTGGTGTGATAGTAAGAGAAGCTATAGTTATTAGATTGATGTACTACACTCATCCCTCAGATGGTAAGTTACATGTGATGTATTGTGTATTGTTTAAAGTGTAATATATGTTAAATGTGTGTATAATTCCATAAACTATGCATATGATACTTTATTTTACTTTATATTTACATATTGTTATATACTTATTTCAGAGTGTTGTTTTGTACCTATAGAATCTACTTGTTGTAACAGCCTTAATTGAGAATTGGATCGGTATATAAATAGGATAGAACTTTAAAGCTGTTGACAATCCCGAACGTACTTGACCCTGAGAGGCTCGTATAGTTATATTTAAATTGCGTCGATCCACCCTATTACATAAAGTGCGATTATTACATGGTATATATTTACTTTAAGCTGGTTTAGATATCGCCCGTTTCTTTTGGTACGCCTTTTTATACTCACTTTTAAACGCTGGCGGCTTAAAATGATTTTGTCGTTAAACTGAGACCGATTCATAAGCCGAGGTCCGGAATATCGTCAAAGTTTTTTACGCATATCCCTTCAAATTTTAAATACCAAAATTTAAAAAATTTTTTGGAGGATCCACATTCAAAATCTAACAAAAATTTGTAAAATCATAATATTTTGTTGGGTTTTAAAGCAAAGCCCTAATCATATAAACATTTAATATATAATACATTTTTTTTTTTACTTTTATTTTATACCTTATTTTTCTGTAACCCCCTTATTTATTTTTTTCTTTATTTAATTTTTTTTTTTTTAATTGTAATTCAATTGATCGAGCCCGGGAAACTTAAATTTTTAAAAAATTTCACAGGGGTGGCAGGAAAAATCAAAATTAAAAACCCCCACCAGGAAAAACAGTTAAAAAAATCTGGCATGTTAGTGGGGTAGCTATGGTGCTTTTTGGCATGCAGAAGGTCTTATTTTCAAATCCCGCGAGGAGTTACACATTTATTATGCCGTTTTATGTTGTTGGGTTTTTTTTATTCATTTTTACTCTTTATTTTATTTATTCTTTTTATTTACTTATTTTATAAATCTCCCCATCGTATTTTATATACGAGAATGCTAAAGCATATATGATAAGTTACAATTCAGTTCAATTTAACAATTCAAATAATGTCTGAAACCTCTGTGGCCACTCAGTTCGTCTCCGGTGCAAAGCGAGTACCTCAATAGTTGATTACCAAGGAGAAATGCGGCTTTATCAGAGGTTAATCCCCAGTCTTCCAGAGCACAATGTCACCTTATCACAACATTTTGATGAAAAGTTGCCGACGAATCAAGTACAAAAAGTGTGATGACGTCCTTGTTACAGCGCCATAACACTTCAACCAAACGTGTCAAGGACTCTCACGCTCGCAATAAAATAGATGATTTTCGTTGCAAGCCATAGTGTAGCACAAAGTCTTAATTGAATAGTATTTAACACGAGTTGTGTAATTTATATGTATGACAGAAACACGAAGTACCCTTGCATTGAAAAAAAAAATGTTAATTTCAAAAAATGGAACTGTTTGGATTTGAACCCACAGAAGTATGATTGAAGGAACAGCGCGATATCAATACACTACAACGTCTCATTGCATATACGAATAATGGTCAATAAGTTTTACTATACTATCCATACACACATGACTTACCTTTTCTGAAGTGCGCTGATCCATTTTATATTTATACAACGGTTTACTTCACCAGTTTTATCTCTTTCCGTTATCGTTTCAGTTATTTATACTATTTCTTAGTTTATATGAACTCATAAAAAGAAAATTGGTTTAGAGTGACGTCACAATATATTTAGAGTCAACAAAATGGCGGACAATATTTAGTTTTGTACAAAAATGACAACTACATTAACGTATCAATAAACATACATGACAGGATATGAATGCAAGGAAGTATACAAATTCATAACAAAGTTAAACATTTATGTTGCAAACATAATTATAACAATTATTATTATTATTATTATATACCAAACTTCTTACGCACTTTTTTCATGCACATTGGCACGTTCAAAAGTACTGTACAGTATAACCAAATAAATGATACAATATAATAAAAAATCTAATAAAAACCAATATCGATTCCGTTTTCTGGAACTTATCAGTACGATTTTGTGTGATGAAACATGGCTGTGTGGCTGTACAGCTTATTACAAGAAAACACCTTTAATGGTTCAAACAATGAAGAAATACAAATCAGATGCGTATAAATCAAAATATTAATAGTTTTCCAGTCGACTATAAATAAATTGTCATATGAAAGAAATACATGTTTTCTGGTTTCTTATTCTACTGTTTGTATTTCTAGGTTTTCTTCTCAGTTAAATATGATAAACAAGATCAACAAGGAAAGGCGGCGTTCAATGAACGCTACCCCCACACGAACCAGCAACAATAACCAGTAGGTCCATAAAGTCAAAGGGCACAGGAGTCAAGTTTTGTCAAATCTATGACGGAAATGTTTTATAATAACAGAACAAACAATACAATCACTAAACGACATGGCGTTTAACAACTAAACTCATATATTTTATGGAATAAGCATCATTTTCTGAATGTATATCTATGTAGGTTCTTCATGCATCTTGCTCTTAAATACGTACACAAAGGAAACAACCAATCACTTCTTCTCCATTCGAACTTTTGTGCCTTCTGCAACACCTTTACAAACTAAAGCTCCACCTTCATCCAATAATAGTGCCGGCCATACCATATAACTGACTAGACGACCGGAAGTCATGTATTCCCTGTAGAAGTTTTTGTCAAACCTTGACCCAGTTTCGCAAGTGTGCAGTGCCATGGGTGGTGACTGGACTATCATCATCCAAGAAATGAATATACACTCCAAAATAAATGGTTTGAGACCATCAATGTAACTTTTTGACCAGTATACTTCCATATAAGCCTATAATAAATATACATAAATATCTAAACTGTGTTGTTTGCTATTTGTGAATAACAAAACAAAACAAATAGTGACCAAGTTTGTTTGTTTGTTTTTTGGGTTTTACGTCACATCGACACAGTATAGTGACCAAGTGGAGCACGGTAACCGAATGAGTTCAAACCCTGCCAGGAGCAAATCGTTGTTTCCTTAAACAATAAACTTTACACTCATTGCTCAGTACTGGTTGGTTCCGAGAATGGATTCAAAAGTATGCCTACAAGCCTATAAGGTTATAGCTTCCTACACAACCGAAATGGAATAAATTCTAAGTAAATATGAAAAGAAAGTAAAACAAAATAAAAATATAAAATAAATTTTGTATAAACCAAAAATAGCGATATTCATGATGTGATTGAGAACATGTTTGTATGTACAAATACAATTAATACTATAATACAAATAAAAGTGTCTGTACATTTATATTATAATTCTTTGGCTTTATATTACCTTGATAAAGATATATCAATTTACTCGTAGTAACTTAATATACCTTTTGTAGTACAGGTTACCATATATGTAGCCATCTCCTTAATCAACTGTTTTAATTTACTGTTGACATCAACCTTTGCTTCATCTCCAATCTGGACCTAGGATACATTGTTTT